GGTTTCACCATGTTGACCAGGATGGTCTCGATCTCTTGACCTCGTGATCCACCCGCCTCGGCCTCCCAAAGTGCTGGGATTACAGGCTTGAGCCACCGCGCCCGGCTCAGAAGTGTTTTCAATTCCTAAGAAGTTGGGAGTTTTTGTTTTATTACAAATTTCTAGATTTACAGGATTGATGTTAAGGAATATCACTTATTAGACTTTATATTTTTTATAATCTAAAGTTTGTGTGACCTAAGAATATTGTCAATTTTAATACATACTATGGTGCTGAGGGACTTGCCTTGCTATTTACTCAGATCTTTAACATCCTTACATTTGTCTGTTTGATCTATTAAGGATTGAGAAAACTATACTTTAAAAACCCTGTTTTATTATGTTTGACAATTTATTCTTTTACTTCCTAAAGTTTCCACTTGGTCACAGTTATTTAGAACAACAGCTCTATTCATCCTGCCTGTTGCCTTCAACTTTTATTTCAGCTAGAAATTTAGGCATATATATGTTCTAAACAGCATTTATTAACCATTTGTTTAACTTACGTTCATATAAAGAGACAAATTTAAGTATTATTTACTAAAATAATACGTTGCAAGCAGAGGCATTCTCTTGAGGCCAGCTCTTATTTCTCACCAAGAACGTATCTTAAATTCCCTGAGAAGCCCATGATCAGTATATACAGTAGAAAAGAATGAGCTGGGGTGGGCCAAGGGGCAAAGAACCAAAGACTAGCCTTCATCAGCACGTCTTTTTCCTGCTTCAGTCTGGTTTCCTCTACCAGGTTCCTAAATGTTGTCACTTTACTGATGCTAAATAAACTGCTTTACAAAACCTTTTTACTTTCTATTCCCACATGTTTTACTGCATAAATATCCCAATTCAGTTAGAAATATTTCCCAAAGTTAACTCCAATTAAAATATACACTAATAATGCTACTACTTATAAAGTAATTTATACTGTACGTGTAGCAAGGGAGAGGACTGCAGGCTGACTGGAAGAGAAAAAAGCAGCTTTTTTACCATGTACTTTTAAAAAAGTTTTTGATTTTTGATCCATGTGGACTTCTGTATTTTAAAATGTAAACATTAAAAACAAAATTTTGAAACTTAGAGTATGACTTACCAGTCATATTTTCATCCAGTGGTAGAGAGACTCCTACATCACAGATTTTAATTGTTTCAAAATTGCCTTTAATTACAACATTTGAAGACTTTATGTCTCCATGAAGCAGTTTCTTTTCTTGGTGCAGATACTAAAGTAATAAAAAATTTAACACATGAGCAGAAATATAAACTAATAAAAAATGTAATAACCTCCAAATCAAAATAACAATGTGAACTCCCTAACGTTTAGGCTTGTATTTGTCCAGCATTTCATTTTTTGTTTTTTTCTTGGTTTCTTTTTTGAGATGGAGTCTCACAGTTGCCCAGGCTAGAGTGCAATGGCACAATTTCGGCTCACTGCAACCTCTACCTCCAGGGTTCAAGCGATTATCCTGCTTCAGCCTCCCAAATAGTTGGAACTACAGGTGCACGCTACCACGCCTGGCTCATTTTTGTGTTTTTAGTAAAGACAGGTTTCACCATGTTGACCAGGGTTGCCTCAAACTCCTGGCCTCAAATGATCCACCAGCCTCAGCCTCCCAAAGTGCTGGGATTACAGG